TATATATATATATTGCTATACTTATAGCAAAACTGTAGGTAAAAGATGAAATTTGCAAAACCAAAGAAAAAAACTAAAATGAGCAAAAACCAAAGCTAATAATTAAAATCAGATAAAAATGTAACTAAAGCAACCCTGTAAGCCCAGTAATAAGCTAAACAGGCATTAAGAGACAAAACGAGGAAACTGTGAAGTTAAATAAAAAAACAGAACTAAAAGCTAAAGTTACCTAAACTTTTAAGCTAAAATAATCAAGCCAGTGGCTGAAAGCTAAAATAATTAAAACAGCAGCTAAAGCTAGAATTGCCAAAACTATTGCTAAAAGCTAAATGKTGCCATGTTGTCAACATGCTATTGGTTGCAGCTAAATTTGGCAATACCAAAGCTAAAGCTATAATCACCATTAATGTACTTTAGGCTAATGATAATTTGAYATGGCTGTCCTGTAGACTGACAATCATGGATATGTGTATGTGAGTATGTGTGTGAAAATATAAATGTGTATARGTGATCATATGTCMATGTATAATTAGAGGTACAAGGGGGTGAGGTATATTAAGCTATGTTTCTATTCACTCCTTTTTGATTATGTCGACTATTCTATTTGCTTTTTTGGTTGAACAGTTTTACAATTTTGAGCTTCATTTTGTTTAGTTTATTTTCATTTTATTTTTTGTGCTATGGAGACATATGTTATGTAATAAGTGGAAGCTAGATATTTGTGCATTTTCAAAATTAAAGTGAAATTTTTTAGCAAGACAGCAGCTGAAAGCTAAAATGATCAAAACAGTTCCTACAAACTTGAACAAAACTAGTTAGCAAATCAAGCAAAAATCAAAGGTAAAAGTTAAAATCAAAGCTAAAAGTTAAAATCAAAGGTAAAAGGGGTCAAAAAGGTGGCTGAAAGTTATAAGACAGTGGCTGGAAGCTTAAACTATTAAAACACAACTAAAAARAACATTACCAAAACTACTGCTAAAAGCTAAATGCAGCAAACTGTAAGTAAAAGCTGAAATTATCTAAACCATAGGCATATGCCTAAATTTYTCAAATCAATGCTAAACAGTATCAKTAAGCTAAAACTGACCAGACAGTAGCTAAAAGCTTGAAGTATCAAAACAACAGCTAATTGTTTAAATTYACAAATCTGTTTCTAAATCTGAAATTAGTAAGACAGTAAAGGGAGCATAAGAAGACAAAAACAGAGTGAGAACATCCTGAAGGACTTTATACTGTAAACAAAATGCAAATAATTAAAATATATACAACACATATTCCAAGTTTCGGCTCATCATTCCCAAACAAGCTGAACATATTAATAAAACAGCAAAAAGTCTGCAGAAATGATTTGAGCCCAAAAAAATCGATTAATTTTAATAAATCCACTCAGAAACAGGAAACAGGAAGGGATGAAAAGAGAGGAGCGGTAAGAGGAAGTGAAGGATGATTTTACATCYTATGAGGTGAAAACAAACAGAAAAAACTAGTAAACAAAAAATGAGAGGAAGTCAGGGTCCATGTTGATGAAGAAACTGAAACAAAAAGCAGGTCTGGCTGCAGAGTCGGGTCATAAAACGTTCTGTTACAAAGCTGAGCAGAGTCCGAATGAAAACTGATTTTAATTTTCCTGAGTGAACAGAAGAAAGAGACGTTAAGATGTCTTCATAAAGGTTTCATTATRGGCTCTGCAGAAAAGCTTTCATCACGTCTCATTTTAGGACCCAGACTGAACCAAATGATGCAATTATAAACCCATCCAGGACATTACCGAGCACTTTAAAAACCAGGACTTATTGTCCTGGGGTCCTACGGCGGCTGACATCATCCTCTCTGCAGCTCAGATCCACGAGAAGTGAAACAAATGGCTGCAAAAAAAAKCAGTTTTTGACCTGTTCGTTTTGAGTCGTTTGTTGGTAACAGAAAGAGAAATGTCCTGGAATCTCTTCAGCTAAGAGCTGAAGACGTYAGCTGCTGAAGGTGTAAAGCTCAGTTTCTGAGACCAAACAGCTTTAATTCTGAACAGAAAACTGAGCAGCTCAGGGCTCTGAGACGTCAATCAGAACAAAGAATCTGTTTTCTGTTGGCCTCAGGGAGCTGAAAACAAGCTGAAGCTTTTTTTTAAACTCTCACTAAACAAGTTCTAATGTTGGAGAGTGAGGTTCTGGACTGTAACGGGACCACTGCACCTTAAATCTTTTTGACCCGTTCTGTTGTAGATCAGCTGCTGTTTGGGATCATTACTCTGTTGGATCCAGTTTGGTCCAAACTTCAMCTGTCAGACAGATGGACTCACATCTGACTCCAGAACCCTTTGGACTACAGAGGAGTTCATGGTCCACTCATCCATCCATCCATCCATCCATCCATCCATCCATCCATCCATCCATCCATCCATCCATCCATCCATCTGTCCTCCCTAAAGGATCATCCTTACCAGATGAACCCCCTCAGCTGGTTCCTCAGGATGTGGAGCAGCTCTACTCTGAGTCTCTCCTGGAGAACTGAACTCAGASTAYGGAAGAGTCCTGCTACCCTGCAGAGATGAATGGACTGACTATTGCTTAAACCCTTTAAAGTGTGAAAAACATTATTTCCACAAACTTCTTAAATATTTTTGACCCATTTATAAATTCTTGGGTTTCTAAAATGTTTTGATTTTTTTTATTTGTTCCATTAGTTTATTTGTTCTTTTCAAAAGTAAATCACGCAGATGGCATAAATCAATTAAATTATTTATCATTCATCAGATTTAATTATAGTTATACTTTTATTTGACCCCAACTAAGTTGAACAGAAAGACCAGGCCTGCGGCGCGTTTTTAAGTTCAAAATGGGGAGTTTTTAACTTTTGTTTTACCTGGAGTCAGAAGGTGAGGCTTGCAGCTACAACCAGCTCCGACTTGTTAACATTCTGGTGGGCGTGTCCACTCCTTATGACGTCACGGCCTGTCTCTGTACTCGGGACCATTCATGCTTTCAGCCTCATCAACAGCAGCGCGCCTCGCCCCTGTCTCTGCACCCCGTCACCTTCGAACCTGAGCGGACAGATAAAAAGTGATACCCGCGGACTTTTTTTTGTATTGGACCGGTCCTCGGACCGGACAAACCCGAACACGACGGGAAGCGGCTCGTGGCACAGGTGAGAAACTTGGGCGTCTGTGAAACGCCTGTTGTGAGGTCCGCGCGCTAGTTACAGCTGAGTGAGTCACGCCAGACTTCTATTTGAAAAATGACTCGATTTAAAAACTATGTATTTTTATGAGAGAACCGAACAGATACATTGGTTTATTTGAATTATACTGTTCAGGAATACTTTAGTCTGTTATTCGGCTGTAGCTTGAACCTCTCTCTCTCTCTCTCTCTCTCTCTCTCTCTCTCTCTCTCTCTCTCTCTCTCTACCCTCCCCCCCATTTAAAAGGTCAATCACTTTGAATATACAGATGTTAAAGATGGAGATGACTTTATATTAGCAGAAAAGCATCTAGAAGAATTTTGCATTGCAGTTAGAAAAACTCCACATGTTCAGCTGTGGTCTAACAGCTGGAKACATCTGTCCGAATTTGAACTAATGTCTATGGCATGAGAGCCACCGGGACTCGAGGTGGTAATGGAAACCTCTACAGCGGTGTCCAAAGTGTGGCCCGGGGGCCATTTGTGGCCCCTGAACTGATTTTGTGTGGCCCCTGACTTCAGTTCAAAGGTTGTCTCTGTGGCACAGGTGTTTGATGTAAGTGGAGACTTTCTATTTCTTATTAGGACAAAATGATCACAGACAAAGTAAAATCTTCTTCCAATAACAAATATTGGCAACAACGCCAATCGTTTGTCTTTAAATAACCAGGATCTTAGCTTTTTCCACATCTATCTAGTGACTTCTACTGAAAAGCTGATTTTACTGCACTCCAATCTGCTAATAATTTATTAAATTTGGCTGAATACAGCAAGCATTTTCAACAAAAGAGTCACCTAAATCCTGATTTTATTGATCACATCACAATTGACTAAATTGATACCTAGGCAATTGCCAAATTTCTTTCAATAAGAGAATCCTGCAAAACATGTTTGAAGTTCTGGATCTCAATTAATTTACATATCCATATCCAGCAATAAATTTGACTATTTGTTTAATTAAAGTTTTCAATGCTTAGTTTGTTGTTGAGAAGGTAAAGGAAAAATATTTTTGGCCCTCAAGTCCTTCTGACTTTATGATTTTGGCCCATGTGACAAAGTGTTTGGACACCCCTGCTCTAAAACATCAATTAGTCCCAACYGGACTAAAATCATTGTTGTCAACATTGGGATGCAGCATCAGGAGGTCATATGCATAACATTTTTTATAAATGTAAATTTTGGAGAGGAAAAACAAAAATCTTCTCAACAAAAATAAATAAAACTGTTCATAAAAATGTAGACCTGTTCCACAGCAGTCAGATATGGGCCAGATCTGGTGTRAAGCTGGCACTGCTGGCCTGGCMAGTGGTTTMTCAGTAGGATYTGGACCAGGTCTGGCACTGTTTTAAGATGACCTGCCACCAGTGGTGTARTTYTYGTTGGGTTCATGAGGTTCAYATCTGTCAGMGCCACAGCTGGTGGCTTTGTTAATGTGATCGTGGCCCATGTTTTGACAACCATTGACAAACCACATCTGGGCCTCTAAGGGGCATCATTCTTTTTGCTGTATTTGGGCTGGGTGTTGGTGCTTTGGGTGGGCCAGACCTGGGCCAGACACATTTTGCTATGTGGGGTGTATATCAGAAGGTAATTTTTGCTGCATTTTTAAAAATGACCTAAATATACAGTAAATAAATAACAACAGAACAAATCTTAAGACATTCTGCTCTGGGTTTTGTTTTTTCCAGGGTTTTCATTGGCCCTCACATGGATCCTCTCATTATAACATTCCTGGAGGTTCCTGTGGTTTGTGGTTTTTCTTTACACTTTTTTTTAAATTTTACTTTTTATCAACTCTAGAACATCTGTTGCCCCAGGGTTCTCCAGCAAACCTGACTGCAGAGAAGACATGGAAAGGAGAGTATCAGAAAAAAAACTACATGAAACAGATTCATAAACCCAAAGTGAATCTGTAAATATACTGAAGTCTGTCATTAACAGCTGAGTCCTCATAAAGACTTGTAATTTAAAACAAAACATTGTGTGTTARGATTTTCTTGTGAAATGTCTCACAATGCCTGTCAGCTGATACCGGTTAAAAAGAGGAACAACTTCTAGTTTCACACCCAAATCTGGAGAAAGAAGTGAAGAACTGGCTTACTTTTAGACTAGGCAAAACAGACACGCTTTTAAAAATAACAGCCCTGGTGGTGGCTCTCTTTTATTGGCTGGATAATCTAAACCAGAATAGGGCTTGCAACATTAGAGGCATCTCACTATTGATGCTGATAACAATATGTTTTTTGATTATTTTGTAGATATTGGATAAGTTGACCAATCAGAGCAACCCTCCAGGCCAGCGTTTCCCAAAGCTGGGGTCAGGACCCAAAGTGGGGTCCCGAAACATCAAGGTGGGGTCCTGAAAAGATTTTCTGAATTAATTACATTTTTGCCTT